ATGGGGTCGGGTTTGGGCGCTCATCATCCCCAGGGTGGTGAAGAGGGATGTAATGCCACACTAAAAGCTCCAACAATAGAGGACGCCGAGCTCCTTCAACTCTCATAGATGTCAGGGATAACCGGATGTCATGCCCGAATTTCATTGCTGCATCTTTTTTTATTTTGAAGACACAAAAAACAGCAAAATCAGAGTAAAGGACCTATTGAAACTTGTGAATTATTAGTATTATTTAAAAACTTGATGGCATTTTGGGGAGCTTGCTCAAAAAGTTTGCAAATATGTAGGGGGTTTGGAAATGATATACAGTATTGATAAGGGGGCTGGACTTGGACAATTCAAACTAGTTGTGGGCGTGGCTTCAGCACTATGCCACGCCCACACATCGTTTTAACCTGTTAAGCACCGCCCCCCCCGGTACCGGGCGGATAAACGCGTCATTTGCAGGAAACAACGTCTAAGGAATCTTAATATTTAATAAACTATGAATGTTTTATATCCATGTAACGGGAAGAAACTCAGCTAACTGATCTTTTAAAAAAAAGAAATCCAAAAAAAACCCACAATGCTAACACTCAGCCTCTGAATTAGCCACGAGCGAAAAAATGTAACTTAAAACGGCACCTAAACTCACTCATAACTCCCTTATTACTGATCCTAGATGCACAGCCAACTCATCAATTAGCATCTCCTGGAGACACAGAATCTGTGTAAAAAACCTCAACACTCAGTGATAAACATTTGCGACGCTATAAACGAAAGCGTACATCAGAACATGTGGAGCTAGGTAGCTAGAAACGCTAACATGGCTTACCTTGGTCAAAACTGGTCTTCAATGGCATTAAAACGATAAAAAAACGATGCTGCAGTTAATCCATAGGTTAATCCAATGTGTCTGTGTACTCTTTGAAATTATTTCTGATAATCCATAAGCAATAAAACTGCTTTTTCGTTTCCAAATGTCAGAGCTAGAGATAGGTCGACTCTGATGGAAAATTACATGCGCGAAGCCCCCACCTCTTCTCTTCACAACGTGTGTGTGTGGGGGACTCCCCCTTCAATTCTATTGGCTCTAACGGTCAGAAAGAGGTGTCAACCATCAAAATCGAGTAAGGGGGGCCAGAGATATGGAAAAAAAAACATTTTCACCCAAATCACCTCAGAGGTGGAGTGGTTTTGGCTAAACCTCTCAAAAGGTCAAATGTCACTTGTTTTGCATCAATCTTGATACAGGGTACTTATTATATGTTGTACTTTGGATTCCTAAAGCTTTTAGTCTACTAACCCATCATCCAAGGGTAGTTTTCACTATCTGTAAAAAAGAATTTTTGGACAGACACTATAATTTACAGTTTTTTACTATGTAAAATCTGAATTTTCTTTAAAATAAAAAACATCTATATTGATTCTGACACTTTTTAATTCAAAAGTGTCTTTTATAACTTGGAAATGAGCTTAATAAACAAAAGGTATTGTTATTGTATTTCACGCAAGGTATCATGATGCTATGATTAGCACTGATAGCACCAAGTGGAGTTCTGTCCTCAAATAAGTCACATTAAAAACTAATCAGGAACCCTTAAACTTCCTATAGCAGAATAAAGACCTCTGTTTAGTCTAAAACATCATCATAAACTTCTCATAAGTATGACAATTGCATGTCTATTGTAATAAAATGCATTACAGTGTACATGTGACTGTGTTGTTGTGTCTATCCCCTGTATTTGTATTGTGCATTTTCTTTCGACTTATGATATCTTCAACTGTACAAAGTCCATGAAAACTTTGATTACTTATAAAAGGTGCAGCCAGCATGATGTAATGTCCTTTACTACTCGCATACTGCACAGCTTGTCCAAGTAACCTGGATTATTTAAGGTTATAGTACATTAAAGACTAATGTATATCTTTTTATTTGACTTCAAGCAAACATATACCCACACTGTTTCTTTAGTATTAGTATTTAGCCAAAGTGCAGCACACTCCCAATGTTCAGTTTGCATGACTCATGTCCAGATCCTCTTTATCAGGGAAGTATCCACAGTACGAACAAAGTCCTATCAAGGCCTTTCTTGACCTGCTCAATATCTAAATTGATCTGACTTTCCAACACAAAACATATAAGGAGCAGTATGCAATGCATCGTTAAAGAATAAGCTACCAAACAGCCTATATAATACAACTTTAATATCATTCAAATGAGCTCAACCTCAACTAACCAACACTGAAATGCTACACATTAACACATCAGTAATAATAATCCATTTTAATGGAGTATTTTAACAGAATAGTGTTGTTACTTTTCCTTAAGTAAATGATCTGAATATTTCTTCCACCACGGCAAGATTTATTACCAACATTTATTACCTCACCCCTTTATTGCCTTGCAAATATCTCTCTGCTGAAAGCCCTTTGGCCAGACACGAGTTGATTCTCCCCGCCTTCCATCTTGATGTTTCTTGGCATCTCTTTATGACCATTTATTTATGAGTTACTAACATGTATAACTGCCAAAAGGGAGCCTTGTAGAGTGTAAAACACATTCCCATTTATTAATGAGTTACAACCATTTATAATTTGTTTAAGTTATATTAAGCCTTAAAGTTATGCATAAATTAGGCCATGGTCACATTGAGTGACAGCTCTGTCCAGTGACTGCTGCCATTAGCTTTCTGCTCTGCTAGCAGCTCCATGAAGCTACAGGGACTCTGCCTACTCAACTCATCCCGGGAACATAACTTGAACTCGGCTGTGTTTGTTGTGCTGGTGCCTTGTGGACTATTCTTCATGCTTATATCGTACTATTGTGACTCGTTCCAAAGTTTAAAAAAGACGATGCATGAATGCAGTTTTACGGTAAGTGAAATTCGAGTACTTTATTTATGTGTTGCTTATGTTTTTAGTCAGCTAACGTTAATGAATGTTAAGGCTTGGGTTAGCATGTAGTAAGCAAGTGGTAGCTACATCTGTGCTAACAATGCTAATCGTAGCCTCCAAATTAAAACGTAATAGAGAAGTGTTAAGCATTAAGTGGGATAATACTGTAGAACAAACGGCTTCTGTTTGAGGTTGGTAAAATAAGGTCATCCTTGTTAGTTCGAGAACTATTTTATTAGGTAGGTAACTTTATGCATTGATAAGGATAATTTAAATTCGCTATGCTCGAGTATGTAGACAAGCTAACGTCAAAGTAGTGTTGAAGAATAGCGTAGTGTATGTGAAATAAACCTCACAATAAGATGTGTGTATATTACAAATATTAATGTCGTATTTCAAGATGATTAGTTAGATATTACAATATGGTTGGTTGAGCTGGAGTTCATTATTGAGCTTACACGTTAACGTCACAGTCATATCTGAAGAACAAACCCAAACCTTATTCTTTTTATTAATTGTATTACCAAATTGGCATCAAATAAATAGTAAGCATTGGTAACACCAATAAACTATTTTATTTGAGTATTTGTGTCCGGGAGAAGGTACTGTACCCAGTTCCTATGTTCGGCAGTTATAGACTGGGCTTTCTTGTAAATGGGAATATATATATTTTTTAAAATCAATATGGACCATTACTGTACAATGATCCTTAAATTATGTTATACAATTCACCTAATACACAAGTATGGCATTTTGAAACAGGATGTGCAACAATTTGTATGTAATTTGTGTGCATTTTGTTGTTAACTAAGATGATGTTATGATTTATTTTGTGTTAGTATGCACGTCGTGGACGCTTTGGACATACCTGGAGAAGGAAGAAATGGGTCTTCGGAATGGTGGGAGTTAAAGACAAAATGCGGAGACTAGTGTTGAAACTAGAGGAGAAACGATCAAGATGCCCCCTTGTCCCTCTGATTGGACGGCATGTTAAGTCAGGAAGTAGCATTATTAGTGATGAGTGGAGGACATACAGGAGAGTGCTGAATAACATGGGGTACAACCACTACACCATAAACCACAGCAGGTGGTTGGTGAACCCCCAGACTGGCAGTCATACCCAACATATAGAAAGAGCTAGGTCGATCGTCAAAGGACATGTCCGTTGACAGAGAGGAAACCGTACAGAGAGTTTGTTGGAGGAACACCTCAAGGTTCTTGAATGGTCATCTTGGCTTGGCGCTGCTCACCCTGATGGACTGCTTGGACGCTTGTTCAAGGATATACACAAAGCCTTTCCAGTCTGAGTACCATTATGTCTTACCAAGTCTTTCATTTATGTCTGAGAAAAGCTTTTATGTTTAAATATGTGTATCAGTCATACTAAACAGTCATTACTTTGAGTCCTAATTTTCTTCATATGTGAATAAAATGTTTTGCTTGGCTCTTTTGCATCTTACTTTGCATTTCATGTGAAAAATGTGTATTAGGTAAGCGTGAATGTTATAACTCATTCATAAATGGACATGTGTATTAAACTTTAAAACAACGCACCCTTTCAGTAGTTATAAATGTTAGTGACTCATCAATAGATGGTGATGTGTTTCACACTTTACAATAAGGCTCCCTTTTGGCAGTTATAAATGTTAGTAACTCATTAATAAATGGTCATAAGAGATGCCAAGAACATCAAGATGGAAGGGGGGGAATCAACTCAGTGAACAACAGACACCAAGGATGCTGGCTGATGAAGAAGACGAAGTAAGCTAAGTAGCCAATATAAGGCTTAGCAGTACAGATAAATGTGGGCTGACTATTTGGCAAGCATCCGGTCACAGGTGCCCTGTTTATCATGTCTTATAAAAGCGTATTAATGATTTATAAAGTGTTCACAACCTAATTAATAAATTAATTACAAACTATTCGTAAACCCTTTATAAGGGTAGTCTTATTGTAAAGTGGTACCGTTTTTTTACATGTGTGGTTTAACAGTCTGAAATAGTCAAAAGTTATTCCTGAAAGAGGAGTAGCAGAGTTCATGAGAAGCGGGAAATGAAAGTGCTGCATGTTCAGGATGTGATCATCAGTTGTGCGTGCAGACATTTGTTGAGCTCTGACTGTGACTCATTCTGTCACAAGAGGAACATATCTGCATTTGTTTATTATACTGCCAGGACTGGATAACAGGACTTTGTGGAAGCTTTACTTTTTGTGTAGTTGTTAGTTGGGACTGAAACAGAGGGCTGCTATGGTAAATTCTCCTTTTTTATACAATGACTTTAGTTAAATATTGTTTACATTTGTCATAGATCACTAATTGTTTTTCGTCTTCATATCAATTAACCTCTTAAGCACGGCGGTCCCCCCATTGGACCCCTCCCACCGTTTTATTTTCGAGACAATGTCTCAGGCTTCTTAACATTTATGAAACTATTAATGTGTAGCACCAGATTAACGGGAAGAATCTCAGCTAACTGAAGATATGAACCATTTTTACCAAAACAAAACACAAGTCTCATAAGAAGCGTCTAAATGACCCCTGAGCGAAAACATTCTAACGCACTGCGGCACACAATTCAAGATAAAGATACCCTTATTACTTATCGTAGCTGCACATACAATATATCCGATTAAAGCTGAGACTCCACAGATTATTTAGGTATAGTATCATCACTGAGCGATCCGAATTTGCGACAGGGGAAGCAAACACAGACATCACAACACGTACCTTTACGGAGCTTTTACGGCAGATCGTCTCACCGTAGCTGTCAATTAGGTCAAAAGACGTGTTCAATGGCATTAAAACGAAAAAAGAAAATGCTACAACTGTTGATCCATAGGTTGATAATGTACCTGTGCCTTTGAAGAAATTATTTATAATCCATAATTCCATTTTTATGTAAAAATTGGAGCGGAAAAGTTAGCTGCTAATGGTAGCCACCAGAGTGTATGCAGCTTCCGGTTTTGGTAACGCGTCACTCTCACTCCTTATTTGTTAACGTTTTGGTGTGTATATAACTTTCCCTCGATTCCATTGGCTCTAGCGGTTATAAAGAGATTTCATTCATCAAAATTGAGCAAGGGGGGCCAGAGATAGGTCAAATCCACCCAAATGACCCCAGAAGTGGGTTTTTTTGGCTAAATCTCTCTAAAAAGGTCAAATTCCACTTGTTTTGCATCAATCTTGATACAGGGTACTTATTATATGTTGTACTTTGGATTCCTAAAGCTTTTAGTCTACTAACTCATCATCCAAGGGTAGTTTTCACTATAAGTAAAAAATAATTTTTGGACGGACACTATAATTTATAGTTTTTTACTATGTAAAATCTGAATTTTCTTTAAAATAAAAAAACATCTATATTGATTCTGACTTTTCTACATCCAACTCACAGGTTTATCATTACTTTGAGAATAAAGATTATTAATTTAACCCTTTTAGAAGGGAAGATATGGTCATTTGTTCTGGGAATGTCATTTTCGAGCCTGAGACCTGAAAAACAGGCTCAGGGCTTAAGAGGTTAAACGTATCTTCTATTTGTCTGTACAAGTAATAAAATGTGTTATGCAGGTTTGCTTTATAAAAATAGTATTTAGGTTTTTCATGTGACAGTCACAGGCCTCTGTAATACCTGACAGCACCCTCACCTGTCCACTCAGTAACAGGAAGTGAGGTTTGGTCATTTAAAAATGTGACTGCAGAGTAGAACTGGGCAATAAATGGAAAATATATCGATATCCTGATAGGAGACTAGGCACCGTCTTAGATTTGTCGTGAAGTGTTGTCTTTTCCTGGCTGCATTACAGTAAAGTGATGTTATTATCTATATGTATCAGACTGTTATAGCGGTTCTACTATTTGCCTTTAACCAATTCATCAATAAATCCACATAACTGATGTTTATTTATCAGAATTCCCAGTGTAATCATATTGTGAAAGCATCAATGGTCAACCCTTTTTTGTTTTCATATCACCCAGCTCTACTACATAGATTGTTGCCCCTATGTTTGGGTTTTTGTGTAGCTTTTGTGAAGTTTTTTTGGAGACTAAAAATAGAATAATTTCCCCTCCTTTTCCCCAGGCTGACACACGCTCTCAGCCCCGGGCCTCTGGCTCGGCTGCTAAAATGGACCAGGTTCAGAGTCAGGTGAACGAGGTTAAAGTTATTCTGACAGATGACATCAGCAAAGTGCTGGAGAGAGAGGACAGATTATTAGATGATCTGATCGGCAAGGCTGATGCCCTGCAGGCGTGTGTAAGTATCTGATCCAGATGGTTCAGTGTTGGCTTTCCACCTGATGTTAACGATTAGTTTTCATATATCTTTCATTCAAAGGGTTACTTCTCCTTTAAATTATCTTCTCCATTACACGCCAGAGTAAAAGTGTAACAATATACCAGTATCAACCATATCCGTGATATAAAAACAGGAAATATTGCTCATATTAAAAATACACATAGGATAATATTGTGTAAATAATCCAGGGCTCCATAAAACATTTCTGTATTTTTGTTTTTTCTTTGTCTCTCTTACTCAATGCCCAAATAACTTTAAATAATGTACTAACAGATTAAAGTTAAACAGTTTTTGGCTGTTTTAGAGTTATGTAGTTTTTAGCCTAATGTAATTACTTTTCATATTAAGATTTAACCTGTAAAAAATATATTTATTAAACACAGTGGTTACCAACCTTATTACTGTGTGAGAAAAAAAAATCTGTCATCTTATGAGTTATTTCCCAAATTAAACAATTGTTACTACTTTTGTACTTTTATTTTAATGCATGACTTTTGTAAATAAGTGCTATTACATTCTAGTTTTGGTACTTTAAAAGAGTACTCACCATTTCCTCACTGCAGTCCTTTTGCATTATCATATTTGTGCTGAACAAAGCAGGAATTCTTGTATTTTTCTTACTAGGCCATACACTAATTTTTCTCATCTGGCACCTTTATTACCCACAATGCAACTTGATCTTCAAAAGTTAGGTCTGGGTTCAGGTGCTAGTTTGTTGTTTTCAATATATATCTGACTTCCCGCAGCTCCATCTGGGGACACAAAGACACTAGACAGTTGTTTTTAAATATGCATTATTACTCTCCGCCACCATTATTCAGACCTAGCTTTGGGAAATCGGTGGAGTTCCCCTTTAAGTAAAAGGATGCGGGTAGTTCTTCCATCACTGGTGTTTTAAAAAGGTTTTCTCTTGGTTTCTTTCAGGCTGACTTGTTCGAAAAAACACCCGGACAGGTTGCCCGGAAATACTGGTGTAAAAGCATGTGTTGTGAGGGGACTGCGGATGGAAATTAGCTTAAAGCAAAAAATCCGGCTCATTTACACTTGTAAGCATTGTTTTTGTTTTAAAGTGTTCATCGATGTGCACTGTCCCGGTTCAAATAAACGATTAAATAAAATCTTTGCCACAAATGTTATATAAATCACCAAATATTCTCCTTCACCAGCTCAGGACTGAAAGCAGTGAAAATTGAGGATAAAGCTCACGTCTTTCATTGAGCATTTCAGCATTTAAATGCACTCTTGAAAGTGTATTTTCATTTCAGCAGATATTTTAAGAAATATTTATGCACATTTTAAGGGTACATGTTTTTGTAGCATCTGCAGGCTTTTTGACTCTCCGTAAAATAAGAAGTTTAAATTCAGAATGCACAACTTAAATTGCTAGAAACTTGACTGAAATACTTCCTTGAACACTCCAACATTCATTAAAATGTGACTTAATGTTAATATTTCACAAAGGATCACAAATCCAAATGAGTGTTATTATTTGTATTGTTATCGCATATCTTTATGTCCAATTACCTGTAATGTGTGTTTATGACTGTCAAACTCTATAATAACATATGTATTATATGACTGATGATTATGATGAAGAGGATACATTTTAACATTTGCTACCACAATATTGTATATAAATAATATGTTCTGCTCCAAACAATCAAGCATTTTGATTATGTAATTTGAGAGCATTAAATACAAAAACAAGAAGGGATGGGGAATGCAAACTATTAAAGGTCCCAAGTCATGCTTTTCCGGTTATTACCCGCCCCCTTGTGTGTTATGAAGGTTTTTCTGCATGTAAACGGTCTGCAAAGTCACAAACCCTCAAAGTACATCCTGTAGCGAGTAAAATTCGAACACAGAAAAGACCTGTCTATGCTGCCCCAGAACGCCTCGTTGGACATTTCTCTTTTTCTTCCTGGGTACAGTGACGTGCCCATACCCAAATGGACCCATTGGTCCAAATGGACCAATCCGTGGAGCCGTTACGTCCGCGGAGCTGTTACGTTAAGGCTGGAGCCACACGAGGACGATAACGCAAACGGACCGAAATCGATATCAAAAAAGTCTTCCGTCCACACGCAACAGGCACCAGAAACGTGTCCGTTCACACGAGACCGCTCGAAAGCGCTGGAGACGCTGTAGTACATATGCCAGGCCTGTAAGTGGCGCTGTAGTCCTGCCACAAAAGCAGCGAAGAAGACTTCCCGCGCATGGTTGCCATGGTTGCCCTTCTGTTTATTCTCCACTGTGGACGCTCTGGCTCTTTTTCTCCCTCCCCGAGGCAAGCGTTTGCTCCTGCTGTAAATCTCTCCGGTACTCCACTAGCAGATGAAAAACACCCACCTCTCCGCCTCTTCCGAGGGACGATGGGACCGTGCAGCAGAGTTTCAGTTAGTATTTTTTTCATGTCCGTTAAAGTTGAAATCTTCCGGACAAAATTAGAAAAGTGCCGGTCAAAGGTCTTCTTTGTTATTTATTGAGCTTTAAAACAAATTGATAACGACTCTATATAATAATATAAGAATAAAAAACGGAGCCACTCTTTTCCTCCCCCTCTTCTGAGAGCCCAGCAGCTGATCTCTGAGCAGGAGAGGCGGGGCGAGGCGGGGCTATTGCTTCAACGTTATCAGGAAATGATCGTATAGGCGTAAACACGGAGCCGTTTGCCCCCCCAGAGCGTTTCGTTTGCAGATCTACCCACCTAGGGACCCGTTATCGTTTTCTGCGTTTCCATGTCGGCCTCGTGTGGCCGAACCGTCTATCTGATAGTGAACTGTAGCAGATACGACCGTTATTGTCCTTGTGTGGCCGGGGCCTAAGATTCTTCAGTTTGACTTTGGTGACAGCGCGGTGTGTGACAAGGGCACAGAGCTATTAGTCCTCGTTTGCACACTGCTTGGACAATCTAGCTATTCAAATAGAGTCCACTTACAGGAAAACAGCTCCTTAATGAAGAGATGGCCCGGGTAATTTGCCATAAATCTATTCTTTTATTCCTTCCCACACGCTCATATTTCCCCTCGCCTGTATGCATACACAACCTATGCACTTTTAAACACAAACTTAAAGGCTTCACGCACACATACACCAGGGCACATTGATATTATAATGCGTTCTGGAGGAAACTGCGGAGCAATTTTCGCCACGTAAATCAAAAAGGTCAAAATGCAAATGTCAGCTTTTTCCTCCTGTGCATTTTAATTATTCTGTCAGGTTCAAAGAGTCTTCATCAGAAAGGAGGCGCCTGACAAAGGAAGGCCTGAGCTCACAGATAAGCGTCTCCTCTTGACACCTCCCTCTCTATACTTAGCCTATCTTCCTCTCCTCTCACACACTTAGCATCACCTCAAAGTAAATGACAATGTATCCGTTAGACGCTTTTAGCAATTACCAGCTGGCTGAGGAGTCAATTCGTCTACACTGCAGGGGGTTTTGAAACTCAGGAATACCAGATTAAAGTGCTGTTGGTTCAGATTATACAGAAAAGAGACACTTTTATTCTGCAAAGGCAGGTTTATCTGTGCTTTACTACAAACAAAGACACTGGTCTGTGAATAATTAACCTACAGGAAAGACCTTTGGTGGCATTTTAAATCTTTTCTCATTAGTTTTGCAGCTATTAAGACGTTTTAATTTCATGCGCCAACACGAAGGCCACAGCATGAATAGAATAAGTGGATATTTTCATATTTCCTTTGGGACTGAACATCTTAAATGTCAAAATTAATGTGAGCATGATGATCCGTGGCACGATAAAATGCACGATAATTATATATTTTTTTCTTTTTTATGAAGAAACAATTAAAAACGTTTTCAAATAAGTCCATAAAGAAGAAAAAAAATGTAAACACTGAAATCCTCAATTAAATCATCCACAGAGACAACATTTAATTAAAATATCGACAAAATAAAGCACTGCACTCTTTTTTTTTAATATTAAGAAGTACATTTATTTTGTATTATTATTCTTTAAAAAAAACGTCAACTGTGTCTGAACATTCTTTATAAAATATTCAATGGAAATTGTTCCTTCATTCCATAAATCTTAACATTTCAACTTTAATTTTTCTCGTGATCATGAAATGTTTAAAAATCACAATTTATTAAAGTGTGCCTGTCTGTGAACTAAAGGTGAACACATGTTTCAGCTGTTTCCTCAGCACCTCAGGCCTCAATCTGTCCACTGCAGCTCATTACTGAACATTCTTCTCTCATACATCTGTTATGAAAATATGATTTGGTATTCATTTCCTTATTTCATTAACTGATTTAGAATTTGACAGTGGTGAAAACAGGCTGGACTACAACTTCCTTCAGTTTTTCAACGAGTTTACCCATCATGGTCCATCCATCCATCCATCCATATCCGAGTCGGGTCGTGGAGGTTCAAGTAGGGTCCAAAACGGGGGGTTACGTATTGTAACCCTAGTTATATAAGCACAGGCGGAGCCCCCTACTGGACTCTATGGGTACTACTCTCAACCATGCTATGCGAGCGGGGCAGAGGTTCTCTGCCCAGCCTGCTGCCTGCTGGGAGCAGATGGTCTGCCACGCCCCGCCGCCATGGTTATCACCAGGCGGACAGACCTGGGCGGTGGACTTCCATGGACGCCGGACCCGGAAGTGCCCGACAACGAGAAGTCCTCGTCATCCTCCTCCCGGCAAACGGAGCCATCCGCCCCGCTGGAATGGCGAACGTGAATGGCACCGCCTCGGCCATATCCTGGTCCCCCAAACACTCGAAGCAGAGGTGGTGGGGATAGGCGCCCGCTATTAAGCCAGGGCACGAAGGACAGGCCCGGGTCTCTAGAAGTGGTGACTCCATGAAGATAACTTCTTTCTTCTTCTTTCAAACGTTTTACTTTTTCTGAGGTGTTGTCCTGCTCGCTGAAGAGAAAAGGATGACAGGATCAGGAGGCGTGGCCGCTTTATATACTGTGTGCCTGCGCGCATATTCAGGTAGGCTCGCCCTGATTGGCCGGCTACGTTTATACAAACTCAGTGTGTGAATGCTCGCATTGCATGGTTGAGAGTAGTACCCATAGAGTCCAGTAGAGGGCGGAGCCTGTGTGAGATATAACTTGCCTTTCCCTGGCCACATCAACAAGTTCTGACTGGGGGATTCCGAGGCGCTCCCAGGCCAGCGTATAGATATAGTCCCTGCGGCTGGTCCTGGGTCTGCCCCTCGGTCTGCCCCTCGGTCTCCTCCCAGTTGGACGTGCCTGGAACACCTCCCTAGGGAGGCTCCCAGGTGGCATCCTTACCAGGTGCCCGAACCACTTCAACTGGCTCCTTTCAACGCTAAGGCCAGCGGTTCAACTCTGAGTCCCTCCTGGATGACGGAACTATACTCACCTTATCGGTGCCAGCCACCCTCCGGAGAAAACGCTTTTCAGCCGCTTATATCCGTGATCTGGTACTTTTGGTCATGAACCATCCTTTGTGACCATCGGTGAGGGTAGGAATGAAGATGGCCCGGTAGACAGAGAGCTTTGCCTTCTGGCTCAGCTCTGTTTTCGTCACAACGGTGCGGTAAAGCAACAGCAATACCGCTCCAGTTGCTCCGATTCTCCGGCCCATCTCACGCTCCATTGTTCCCTCAGTGGAGAACAAGACCCCGAGATACTTGAACTCCTTCACTTGGGTTAAGGACTCAATCCCTACTTGGAGTGGACAGTCCATTTGCTGAGAACCATGGCCTCAGATTTGGAGATGCCCATCATGATATTTTGGTAACTGTTTTGCCAGTGTTGTGTATTATTTCGTTTTCTCCATCTTTATACACATGTTTTTACTTCTAGTTTGCTTTTTTTGTCTTTACATCTTGCTTATTTTTTTGTTTTCAACAATAATTATGAAAAGTGGGTTTAGGCAACTTTATATGTTGCCTTTGTCTATAATGCACAATTAACAAAATGATAAAGCATTATAATCATCTTATATTTTAGGTAATACTGTATATATAGTAGTACCCCTCACTGGAAACATCTTTTATGTTTCTGTATATCACACTCACCCGGATACCCCCTCCTGTGTCTCTGTGGGTTTGATGCTATCAGTGTTCAGGACTCTCAGAGACACAAGGTCACAGAGACACTTCAGCGGGGGCCAACAGGGGGTCCGACACATACATCAACTCTGCTGAGCACAAAATTGAAATGGAAATGTTGGCCTTGAAAGAGTGTGGCCCCCATTTCCCCCCTGGACCAGAGCTAATGATTTGTCATTTCTCTCAGGGGCACCGGCTGCTGCCCTCGCGCTCACACTCACAGCCCCCCCCCCCATCCTCTACTGTACTCTGTATTTACATTTGTTTTGAATGCAGTAATGCTGTATGGGGTTTCTGTTTCACTCAAACTGCAGCATGGCAATATAATGAACTGAAGCTGGAGTCTGGTTGTTCAATTATTAAAACCAGTTCAGAATATTTTTATATTATATCCTGCCAAAAAATTGGGTTTCATGACAATTGCTTCATTTTAAAATTAAATGAAATCAAAATATTTATATAAACCTAAGAAGTGAAAGTAAAATGTCTGATAATGATACAATTAAATATAGTCAAATTAAAAATATTAACATAAAAATCTGTCTGTGGTTGCCAGTCAAATGTTTGAAGTATTTATTGGAATGTGGTCATTCAAATATGTTTCACAGTTAACATCATACAGTAGCAGATAATCCACTGAAGTTGACTGAATTCATCA